ATTGTCATGTAAAACAACTGCTAATTACATTATTATCATCCTCCAAGGGCGAACATTTAATGAGTTTATAACCGTTGGCCCTGAGTACTAAGTAAATACAAATGTACGTACTAAGATACAGTATCCAAGGACATTACTGTGTTTTGGTGACAAGAAAATTACCAATGATTTAGGCCCGATTTAGACTAGAAACGCTTAAGGGGTTTTGGCCAGGGAAACGTTTCGGAACGGTTAACCGTTCCCGGTCTAAAGAGGAAAAAACGGTTTGTTTTGGGTTTTCGCGGACCGTTTCCGAAAACCACCTCCATCGTGGTTTTCGACCGTTTCAGAACCCTTCAGCGGGGGGTCCGAAACGCTTTTTCCTAGGTCTAAAGTCAAAGGGTTTCTTGAAACGATAAACCAGGTCACGTGTCATATGCTAATCACATGCTAATAAGCCCGCGCGCGTCCATTTTCTGCTAGATTCGCGCCATTATTCGATTGTGTCCATTTTTATATCATGTATTTCTCGAATTTTCGTCATCCTTTATGTCTGGGGGGATGGCAGAAGGCCAGGGGAGGGTCTGGACCCAAGAAGAGATCCGCTGCTTGATAAGCTCGTGGGCCGATCAAACTATACAATCCCGCTTGGAGACCTCGCGTAATAGGGAGGGCATACAGATGCTTGTGGACGGGCTGGCGGCTGAGGGGTATTTACGCACCCCAAAGCAGGTTCGGGCGAAGTTCAAGGCCCTGAAACAAAAGTATCATAAGGCCAATGAGGCAAACCGTAGAAGCGGTTTGGGGAGGTCATCATAGGTCACTGTGGGTCAGAAACATCCTGCGCCACGGGCGGCCCGAAACGCTTCCGCCTCTGTGTCTAAAGACGAACCGTTTTCTGTGGCGAAACGTTTCGTACCATTTCGAAACGGTATACCGTTTCCAGTCTAAATCGGGCCTTAGAAGAAATCAATAAAAGGTGTAAACCACTTACACTGAAGTCCTCATGGTTGATATGTATGGCAAAAGGCTGCCCGGCCTCCTCTGCTGGCTGAATAGTGCAGTCTCCCAGAGGGATCACTCCCTGCAGCACATATAAGGGGTGTGAAATCGGCATTAGCAGCTGAGCTAAGCTGTGAGAGAGGCAGGAGTCAGGTTACATCAGGATACAGTTGAGCTAAGTGGTCGGCTATGCAGGACTGAGATAGTAGATGACAGCTGACATTAGAAAAAACTGTTTCCTTATAGACTGCTGCACACCATAACATGAACATGAAAACAATTTTTTGCTAGAGGTTTTTCCCATTTTTCCTGGACCATAACGTCTCTTCCTTCTCTCCTGAACCACCTTCTTATGTATTTTCCAGCCATTGGATGTAATTGATTTGCTATGTTCATACAAGGAGGTTATAGGGACATA